CCACGGCCGGCCATTGCTGCTCGAAAGCGCTGGAGACGCTGTAGTACATATGCCAGGCCTGTAAGTGGCGCTGTAGTCTGCCACAAAAGCAGCGAAGAATACTTCCCGTGCATATGGTAACCATGGTTACCCTTCTGTTTATTCTCCGCTGTGGCTTTCTTTCTCCCTCCCCGAGGCAAGCGTTTGCTCCCGCTGCTTTAATTCAATGCAATCCCTCCCCGTCGAGGCAAGCACTGTAATTCTCTCCGGTTAGTCCACCAGCAGATGACAAACACCCACCTCTCCGCCTCTTCCAAGGAACGAGGGGACCGTGCGGCAGAGTTTCAGTTTCAGTTTCTTTCGCCGGTCAAGATGTCCGTTAAAGTTTAAATCTTCCGGACAAAATTAGAAAAGTGCCGGTCATAGGTCTTCTTTGTTATTTATTGAGCTTTAAAACAAATGAATAACGACTCTATAGGCCTATAATAATATAATAAAACCATAGACTGTATATATAAATAAAACACGGAGGACTGAGATCTTTTTTTCTCCCCCTCTTGACTTGATCAGAGCACGGCTCACCTCTCCTGCAGGGGGGCGTGGTCTCACAGAATCAGCCCCGTAGACAGCAAACAGCACATAGAGCGAAATGAGGCATGGCTAAAATGCATGATCTGTTTGGTATTTTGAAAACAGAAACGTATAAATATACCTTATATAGGTATGGCCCTACAATATATCATTTAAATATAGCATGATAGGTGCACTTTAATCTAAATTAAAATGAAAATGTGAAGGAATGTGTGTAATGTGGTGATTGACATTATTCACCCTCGGATCTATGGGTTGGGGTATTGTTCCGCATGGACATTTTAGTTAACCGGACTTCCTGTTTACCCCGGTCTTCGCTTCCCGGGCTTGAAGCTGTTTACATGTTGTTCTGATGCTAAATAAAAGTCTAGCTTGTACCTTTGATACCCCGACTCCCGTCTCTTGGCACTACAGTAATAGCAAAATACATCCGTCATAAACAATACCGGAAACAGACGTAGGCAAGATCCTCAGCTCGGTGATTTGGATGTTTTAGCCGCAATGCACGCTGGGATATGGTGTTTATAAGATGTGAAATCCGAAAACATTTAAAAAATAAATAAATAATACTTTATTCCGAGTTTGCTTGCTTTTCTCTTTGAAAGTCATCACATAACGGCATTGTAATACACGGTTCGGCTGCATTACATATTACACATCTGCCGTAGTTCTTTATTTATAGAGCCCTGATGAGAAGACTTCTGGACAAACAGGAAGAACTGCGGCCGAAACTGAATATGTGACGTGGATCATAAATATATCAGCAATTAATCAACATCTTAGATTTCTCTTCACAATATAAGTCTCCTTGCAGTATCAATACTAATTCGGCTGACTTTTATATTTGATCCAATTGGTAGATAGGCTATATTTACACCATAACGGTGCCCAGCTGATAGAAAGGGACACCTAGTGGTTAAAGCACGTTATTGAATTGTATTATTTTTGTTATTAGATATTAATAGGAGACACAGACAGACAAAATAATAAGGATTTATTTAAACATTAAAGAATACTTTAGGTTAGGGTCTTCTTTTGAATAAGAAAAAAGCTTTGGGGGTATACAGATAAATATTAAGCCTGACAAAGTACTAATATATTGCTTTCCTGCAATGTTAACTACTGTATGTTTAAGCACTTATTTTAACTGATATTATACATATGTATATATATTATAAGATGTATGTAGATGCGACAAGAAATGTGCAGAATATGACAGTTTAATGGTGGAGGTACACACATATCGATAGATGTCTTGTAATGCACTGTTGAGGAACCTGCGACCCAAGTTTTTCATCTCCGACCTTGTCAGGTATTGAACATTCAATAAATAAAGAACACAGAATGATTAAATATAAAACACATAATTTGTGTGATTATACAAAATGATTTACAAATAAACACCACTGCATATTTACAACTGTTACACATGCTGCTGTAACGAAAAAATGTCCAACTTGGGATCAATAAAGTATATCTTATCTTAAGATGATCGATGGCTACTGCCATATTTGCAAAATGTGCCTCTGAACCTTGACAAGTGCATGTTTCAGGCTTATCAATTAACAACAGGAGGGGTCACAGACATAAGACCAGCTGTTAAATAAAGCTCTTCTGACCTTAGCTGTCATGTGGGTATATATTAATGCTGCCCATTATGGACACAAGCAATTTTCACCCATTTATTAATTATATGTTTTAAATTTGAGTGTTTCCTATCCCCTAAACCTCCAGGGATGTACACAGTTTAATACTGGCAACTTGTTATTATGGGATATACGAAAACGTCTTTTAAAACTACAATTCCCAGTAGAGACGTGCCATAGAACATGTTGCGAAACACACAATAGCCAGCATGTGTAGTTCTGGGGACGGGGTGGGGGAGGGTGGTGGTGGACCCATCCGAATCCAGCTTTGGACAGTCTGCTGTGGTTCCATCCCATGTCATAGTGCTGTTTGACACTCGGCGTAACCCTCGGCGCACACTCAAACATCCAATCACAGAGCTTGAGGACTAATCACGGGGTTTGTCAAACATAGCGGCGAGAATACTTACTTCCGGGTGTAAAATTCTCTAAAGCAACTACTATGAGCTGCTCTGACCCTCGGTCCTGACGGACTCCAAAAGTCCGACATTATACAATCAAACAAATAAATAAACACAAGGATAATTGTGTCTTATTGTTGAGTAAATAACAGTGTGTGGTTTAGAAAAGAATACAAAATTAGAAGGAAAAAACGAGGAAACAATACAGATTTCAGTTTTCTGAGCCCCTCCTCTCCCCCTAACTGACAGCAACAAAAGTCCGACATTATTCAATTAAAATAAAGAAGTAAACACAATAAGTGTGGCTTGATATTGAGTTAGAAAAAGGTTGATAAACGCTGTGAGAATGTGTCTGCGGAGAGCATTTCGCCGCAATCCCAACTCGTCTATTACCAACGTTCAGGGAGCTCTATGCAAGTCAATGGGACGCCCTGCCCGTGGAAAACTGATGCTCAAGGGGTACCCTGTGCGTAATAGGGTGACGGGGAGGGGCCCTGACCGACCATCAACATGTGACAGGTTGGGAGTGAGAACGTGTTGTTATTTAAGGTAATTAGTTAGAGGCCCTATTTTATCAGTATGTCTGCACAGCAGTTACAATGGTCAAACTACATTAAAACAGAATTGTCCCCATTTTTCTTTAACAGTTACTAACATTAGATATTTTAATGAGATATGGACCGCAAAACAAAACATTTGCCTGAATAACTAATTTAGCAGTTGACATAAAAGTCAACTGAGTGTCAATGACAGTGTTGTGTTTTTATTTTATGAACCTTTTACATTAAAAACAAGTTAGAATTTTCCAAAGGTCTTATGTTTTTTTCGGGGGGAGGCCATTTTTCCAGTTTAGAGCAATAGCCCCTCCAAATGTCTGTGCACGTCCCTGACACAGACTTATTTGTTGTTGTTAGTGGTGTTAGTTGATTTAAAACAAAAAGTAATCGCGTAAATCACGATCATAAACTGTGATTAATCTTCATAAATCAGAAGTTTAAAATATTAGTAGGCCTGTTAACTTGTATTTTGGAGAGATATAAAACAAATACATCGTGTGTTGTAGTCTAATAAAGCGGTCCATGAAAAACTGCTGAGAGAAATAAGAGGGGTTTTCACTTTATTATAACATCTCAGCTAATGATGATGGTTTCCGAATGACTGGCATGAGGTCAGAGCAAGTTCTGCTCGTATGCAGAGATGGGGTCGTTACTCAAAAAAAGTAATATATTACTTTAAAAAAAAAGTAATATATTACTTTACTTCGTTACTCTCTACGTAAAGTAACTCGTTACTTTACTCGTTACTTTACTCGTTTCTTTACATTACTTTTGCGTTACTCAGCAACAGCCTATAGCCAAACTTAAAACGTAGGCCTCCATGTGCACACACATAACAATTACTATTGCAATAAGGAAGACATAACACAAGTTAATAACGGTGAACATTCTAGTTTTTGCTGCTTGTTCGGAGTCGGCACTCACTCAACATCATCACTCTGGGTTCGGGGGTCTTTAGCTACTAGCTTGGTGTTAGCATGTTGCCTCTGCAGGTGCTTGGAGAGGTTTGATGTTGTTGTGTTTACAGCAGTGCACCTCACCGTCACATTCCTGTCTTTTCTTCTGGCACGTTTAAAATAATGGGCATACCTCCACCCCTCGAAAGTTATAGCTGTTGATGTCTCTGTCTCAGTCTGCAGCTCAACCCCTGTGACAGCTGCATGTAGACAAGTCGCGCAAATGTTACGACAAGATAAACCTGTGGTGGAAATCCCTCTAGTGACTTGAAATATTTAAAATGTTAAAAGTTAGACCATCACATTTACCAATCTTATCTACCCCTGGAACTAGCTAAACTAGTTATAAATATGATTATTATTTACTGTCGTGTCGGGTCACTCATTCACTGGATCAGTGAGCTGCATGAGACACAGACGGGCTGTCAAGAGAGGGAGAGAGAGAGAGAGAGAGAGAGAAAGAGGAGAGAGGGAGAGAGGGAGAGAGAGAGAGAGAGAGGGAGAGAGAGAGGGAGAGAAGAGGGAAGAGAGAGAGAGAGAGAGAGAGAGGGAGAGAGAGAGAGAGAGAGAGAGGGAGAGAGAGAGGGAGAGAGGGAGAGAGAGAGAGAGAGAAAGAGCTCTGACTGATGTCTGGAGGTGGAAGAAGTACTCAGATATTGTACTTGAGTAAAAGCAGAAGTACTCAGATCTTGTTCTTGAGTAAAAGTAGAAGTACTCAGATCTTGTTCTTGAGTAAAAGTAGAAGTACTCAGATCTTGTACCAATCACGTTTTTTTTGACGGCACAAATTTAAACCAAAATGTATCATATGATGGATTTGATTGAAATGCTTGCATTATAAAGTGTGTGTGTTTATGTATTTGTCTCCAGGGTTACTAGTTCATCTCTCAGGATGGAGAACATGAGAGATTTGGATGATGAGGAGGAGGACAAATCTTCAGTGTCCAGAAAACCTCCAGATTTGAGTAATACACTTGGAGCATCTGACACAAGGTAAGAGTCTGTTTCTGCTGTGAACTGACCTGAAGAGGAGTCTGGTTTGATCTGAGTAGCAGATCACAGTACAGAGACTCAGTAAAGCATCACTGTGGAGTTCAGTCATGAAACAAAGTCAATGAGAGGAAAGAAACCCAGAAGAGGAAAGTAAAGAGGTAACTGAGCTCTGGCTGTGCTCATCAGCAACAGTTAATCATCTACTATTGTGAAATCATTCTCACACTCGACATGTAGGACTTTGTGTTTGGTTTAGTAAATGAACTTGGAACATGTAGAACTTTTCCCTCTCACAAAGAATTGTAACAACAGAAACCCACAAACACCATTTTTAAAACATAAAGTTTAGAGTAAGAACAAAAATCTTTAAAGGGGAAAGAAAATCAAAACTGAAATCAAACGCTGCTTTTTACAAGAACTAGTGATGTGTGTTAAACATTTGTTGTTTCCACAGACAGAGAGCAGAGTCTCCAGTCCCCAGCTGTCTGTCTCTGAAGAGTGACTGGTCTATGAGTCAACCTCTCTACTTCAGTAATGAACCTGGACCCCCAGACACAAAGTAAGAATCTGTTTCTGCTGTGAACTGACCTGAAGAGGAGTCTGGTTTGATCTGAGTAGCAGATCACAGTACAGAAACTCAGTAGAGCTCAGTATAGAAACTCAGTAGAGCTCAGTATAGAAACTCAGTAGAGCTCAGTATAGAAACTCAGTAGAGCTCAGTATAGAATCTCAGTAGAGCTCAGTATAGAAACTCAGTAGAGCTCAGTATAGAAACTCAGACGTACTTGAATCAGATAAGGGAAATATTGGCACCTAGAGCTCTACAGTACTTCATATTGAATTGAAGTTATACATTGATGTGTATCAACCATTGATTGTTAGTTTGACTTTGAATGGAGCAGCCACAATGTTAGCTAAGTCTAACTCCACTCAATCTAATGTCCATTCAGGAACTAGCATTTTGAAAGTGATTTGCTTTCCATGTTGTGGACAGACCTGACAAAGTGTTCACTGCTTTTACAAATTGGAATCATTATGTAGTTATTACATAAACAAGTTTAATTTAGCCGTAGTAAAACTTGTGAGGTACAGTGAACATGCTGTAGGCCAGGGGTATTCAACTCAAATTCAACGAGGTCCAGTTAGAGAAAATCTCCCCATGCAAAGGTCCGGAACATCAAAATGTCTAACTTGCTTTATGAATTAGTGTGATATATATTGAAGTAGCCTGTAGCTTTATCAACGTCTGCATGTAACAACTTTTAAAAATAAAATAGAGAAAATAAATAAAATAGCTTTTGAAAATATGTGCATCTTATAAGTGCTTAATTTTAGATAAATAAAATAAAGTGTAGCAGCAGCTTGAGTTTCCCTTTTTCTTTGTTAACCGTTTCACATCATGACTTAACAGTTTCAGACGATTATAGAACAATATCAGTCTTTACACATCATAACAATTGAACCGTTTTAAAGTTTCTCTTTCTTTCCCTCTTATATTGCAGTCCCTCACTCACTTTTTTTTAATTCAGTGCGAGAATTGAGCTCGAGCTTGTCCTGCCAGGAGTTTAAATCTGGGCTGAAATGGTGTCAGGGCCATTCTCATACACACATGCAGGTGCTCATTGGTTAGCCTCGGTTAGCCTCGGTTAGCCTCGGTTAGCCTGCCCTGGAACGATATTTAGTTTTAATTTTGATCCTGGTCGACTGATCATATTGGGCTCTGAGACTGCTTATTTTTTGTGACCTCCGTTCTGACTTGAGAGGGAATGTTTGGTCAAACACTGTGTTTTGTCTCATAGTGGCGTTTTGGCACTTTTAATGAGCGCCACGGTCTCTGAACAAATGAGACACACTGGTTCTGTGCTCCCAGTGGGCAGGATGAACATGAATGAGTCCGTCCACTCAGGGTTAAAAGCTCTGTTCTCACTGTCCACTTTCCTCTTCTTGGAGAGCGCCATGTGTAATTATTTGTCTCTCCCTGTCTGCCTCTAACACGCCTGTTCACTCTCCTCTCCGCTTCTCTCCCTGTATCGCTAATTATTCTCTTCACTCACTTTCCTCTCCGCTTCTCTCTGCCGCTCTCTCGTCTCTTCTTCTGTGTTTCTCTCCCTGTATCGCTCACTCGTCTCTTTCGCCCCCTGTCGGCGGCGGTTAAAATAGAATCGCCCCGTCAAAATTGAAATCCCCTATTAATGTATTGATTATAGGTCCGGGGCCGTATAGGTCGGCGTCTGGGTCCGGATCCGGACCGCGGTCCGCCTGTTGCCGACCCCTGCTGTAGGCGATGATGTTACAGACAGAAGGGCGTTTTGTTTCATAATTATATGAATCACTAAATATCTACCACTTGGGAACAGTTACCAGGATGAAATATCATCTACAGATAAAGAACTTTAAAAAAACAAGAATTTGCCAACTTTGGGTTGTACCATTGGTGAAAATTAGTCACCGTAAAGTGCTATAAAGGATGTGTTGATCTCCACAGAGGGAAGAGGAAGAGTGGTGTTCCTGTGGAGGAGCAGCTGTCCAGCTGTGTTCTGTGTCAGGACGTCCTGAAGGATCCAGTCTCTACCAGCTGTGGACACTGGTTCTGCAGACAGTGCATCACCTCATACTGGGAGCAGAGACCTCCATCAGGAGACCCCTGCTGTCCCCAGTGTGGAGAAAGATCCAGAACCAGAGCTGGACTGCAGACAGCCAGTCAGACCAGAACAGTAACAAGTAAGTCTGAACATCTGTCCAGGGTTTCCCACAGATAGACTTTACTTGGGCTGGCCGCCCAGGTATATTAACGTCCGCCCAGGTATATTAACGTCCGCCCAGATATATTAACGTCCGCCCAGGTATATTAACGTCCGCCCAGATATATTAACGTCCGCCCAGGTATATTAACGTCCGCCCAGGTATATTAACGTCCGCCCAGGTATATTAACGTCCGCCCAGATATATTAACGCCCGCCCAGGTATATTAACGTCCGCCCAGGTATATTAACGTCCGCCCAGATATATTAACGTCTGCCCAGGTATATTACTACCCTCCTGGCTGGTCTACCTGCATGTCCCGTCCGACCTCTGCAGCTCATCCAGAATGCAGCGGCTCGTCTGGTCTTCAACCTTCCTAAATGTTCCCACACCACACCGCTCCTCCGCTCCCTTCACTGGCTTCCAGTAACTGCTAGAATCCACTTCAAGACACTGGTACTAGCGTACCATGATGTGAATGGATCTGGCCCTTCCTACATCCAGGACATGGTTAAACCATACACCCCAGCACGTGCACTCCGCTCTGCATCAGCCAAACGGCTCGCTGCACCCGCACTGCGAGGGGGACCCAAGTTCCCATCAGCAAAAACACGTGGGTTTGCTATCCTGGCTCCAAAATGGTGGAATGAGCTCCCCATTGACATCAGGACAGCAGAAAGCTTACACATCTTCCAGGGCAGACTGAAGACTCATCTCTTTCAACTCCACTTCGAGCAATACATTTAAAAACAAAAAACCAAACAAAATAAAAAGCACTTATATACTAACAAAGCACTTACATACTAACAAAGCACTTACATACTAACAAAGCACTTATATACTAACAAAGCACTTATATACTAACAAAGGACTTAGATACTAACAAAGCACTTACATACTAACAAAGCACTTATATACTAACAAAGCACTTAGATACTAACAAAGCACTTATATACTAACAAAGCACTTATATACTAACAAAGGACTTAGATACTAACAAAGCACTTAGATACTAACAAAGCACTTATATACTAACAAAGGACTTAGATACTAACAAAGCACTTACATACTAACAAAGCACTTATATACTAACAAAGCACTTAGATACTAACAAAGCACTTATATACTAACAAAGCACTTAGATACTAACAAAGCACTTATATACTAACAAAGCACTTATATACTAACAAAGGACTTATATACTAACAAAGCACTTACATACTAACAAAGCACTTATATACTAACAAAGCACTTAGATACTAACAAAGCACTTATATACTAACAAAGCACTTATATACTAACAAAGGACTTATATACTAACAAAGCACTTACATACTAACAAAGCACTTATATACTAACAAAGCACTTAGATACTAACAAAGCACTTATATACTAACAAAGCACTTATCTAAAGCCTGTTGAGTTTCACTTGAAATGGTTTGGCTCTATGAAACCTGATGTACTTATATGATTCTTCAAGTTTGTATCGTCTTGGTCGAATGCACTTATTGTAAGTCGCTTTGGATAAAAGCGTCAGCTAAATGAAATGTAATGTAATAATAACGGCCGCCCAAGTATATTTCGCGACCTATTTAGGTTTTTTTTTTTTTTAACCGTCTGCGAGCACCACGCCATCTGTGATCGATGAACTAGTGGACAATGATCCCTCGCTCTACGCCTCCTGTACCTGTTCGCTCTGCCATCGTGTGAAGGGTCCGCTAATAAGCGACCAACAGAAAGGGAGACCTTACGAGAAAAAGAGAAGTCAAATGTTGTTGCACATCACTCATGCGCAACTGCGACGCAATTATGCGCTCTGCAGTAACCCCGCTGCGACGCTCCGGCAAACTAACAGTTCACGAGCGTGCTCCATTAGCAACCCCCCCCCTGCCCGTCGTGCACGGCTACCACCACAAGTATAATTCTGTGGGAAACACTGCTGTCTCCTGGTGTCTTCAGGCCTGAAAACAGGATTCTTCCTGTTGTGTTGTACATAATATAAGTTCATTTAAAACGTTTTTTTTATTCTCCTGTTTCCTTCTCTTTCAGCAGAACGTGGTCTGCAGGAGGTTTTAGATGAACATAGGCTCAGTCTGAGGAGGAGATGTGAACGTGTGACTGAAGGAACTGGTGAAAGTGAAACCCTCCTCAACAGGATCTTCACTGAGCTCTACATCACACAAGGCCAGAGTGAAGAGGTTAATACCCAACATGAGGTGTGGCAGCTGGAGACAGCTTCCAAGAAAGAGACCCTCCATTACTCTCCAATCAAGTGCCAGGACATCTTTAAAGCCTTACCTGACCAACAGAATCTCATCAGAACGGTCCTGACCAACGGAGTCGCTGGAGTTGGAAAAACCTTCTCAGTGCAGAAGTTCACTCTGGACTGGGCCGAGCGTTTGGAAAACCAAGATGTCAGTCTGGTGATCCCGCTCTCCTTCAGGGAGCTGAACCTGATCAAAGGTGAGCAGTACAGTCTTCTCAGGCTGCTCCATGTTTTCCATCCGACCTTACAGAAGGTCACAGCAGAGCAGCTGGCTGTCTGCAAAGTGCTGCTCATCTTTGACGGCCTGGATGAAAGCAGACTTTCTCTGGACTTCAGAAACAATGAGGTTGTGTCTGATGTCTCTCAGCAGTCCTCAGTCAACGTGCTGCTGACAAACCTCATCAGGGGGGAGCTGCTTCCCTCGGCTCTCGTCTGGATAACTTCCAGACCTGCAGCGGCCAATCAGATCCCTCCTGAGTGTGTGGACAGGGTAACAGAAGTACGAGGCTTCACTGACGCCCAGAAGGAGGAGTACTTCAGGAGGAGATGGAGTGATGAAGACCTGTCCAGCAGAATCATCTCTCACATCAAGAGCTCCAGGAGCCTCCACATCATGTGTCTGATCCCAGTCTTCTGCTGGATCACTGCTGCAGTTCTGGACCACATGTGGACTACAGACCAGAGAGGAGAGCTGCCCAAGACCCTCACTGACATGTACTCACACTTCCTGCTGGTCCAGACCAAGAGGAAGAAGCAGAAGTATGAAGAGGGACATGAGACGAGTCCACAGCAGCTGACGGAGGCTGACAGGGAGCTTCTACTGAAGCTGGGGAGGCTGGCGTTTGAACATCTGGAGAAAAGAAACATCATGTTCTACCAAGAAGACCTGGAGCGCTGTGGTCTTGGTGTCACCGAGGCCTTGGTGCACTCAGGAGTTTGTACACAGATTTTCAAAAGAGAGAGTGTGATATTCCAGAAAACAGTCTACTGCTTTGTTCATCTGAGCATTCAGGAGTTTCTGGCTGCAGTCTACATGTTGCACTGTTACACCAACAGAGACACAGCGGTACTGAAGGACTTCCTGAAGAGAGACTTGGACGATGGCAACAGTGATAGCAGTGATGATGATGATGATGATCACCCATCCCTGCAGAGTGACTATAACAACATGTTTAACAGTGATCAGGATTACCCATCCCTGGATGTCTTCCTAAAGAGTGCCATGATGAAATCCCTCAAAAGCAGAAATGGCCACCTGGACCTGTTTGTCCGCTTTCTCCACGGCCTCTCTCTGGAGTCCAACCAGAGACTCTTAGGAGGCCTGCTGGGTCGCACAGACAACAGACCAGAAATCATCCAGAGAGCCATCAGCAACCTGAAGAAGATGAGAAGTGATGAAGTCTCTGATGAAGACAGGAGCATCAACATATTCCACTGTCTGACAGAGATGAAGGACCACTCAGTACATCAGGAGATCACAGAGTTCCTGAAGTCAGAGAACAGATCAGAGAAGAGACTCTCTGTGACACACTGCTCAGCTCTGGCCTACATGCTGCAGATGTCAGAGGAGGTTCTGGATGAGTTGGACCTGGAGAAGTCCAAAACATCAGAGGAGAGACGACGGAGACTGATTCCAGCTGTGAGGAACTGCAGGAACGCTGTGTGAGTCCAGATGTGATTAGCTTTATAGATTAGTGTAGATAAGGATTTTAGTTTTTAAAATAAACACTATACAACTTGTTGCTGTTTCACATACTGTGTGAGCTAAATTGAATTAATACAATTATTCTAATAATTAAAAGATTGTACAGTTTTTTCTTCTCTTCATTTTCCTTGTCAAAATAATATGAAGGATGTTTTATCACAGCAACATGTGATCAGAACATACAGAATAACTTTACATATGTCATTGAATGCAGTAAAGTTATTATGAAATGATTGCAGTTTCTTTATCGTTAAATTAGACACAGAGCAATATGTGATTTATGTTGACTCTAGTCTTCTCTAGTCTAGAAGGTGGCTAGCAGAGAGGTGACAGACATGGGATCAGATCACACTCTACCAAATATTAAATAGACTAACATCCAGTGGTAATCAGATCATGAGATTCAACATGTTTTTCCTCAAATGCATGAAGTAAATATGTTGTTTCCTCTTTTTTTTATATAAACAAATTCTGTAATATGTGTTCTAACAGAATTCCTGCCAGTGGATTCTTAGACTGGGAAGTCGTGGCCTCAGCTCTGAAGTCCGACCCCTCCGATCTGAGAGAGCTGGTGGTGAAAGTAGAGCTGCAGGATTCAGAGGTGGAGCAGCTGAGTTCTGGACTAAAGAGTCCAAACTGTAGACTGAAGACTCTGAGGTCAGATCACTGGCTGTAGTTCATGTGGTTTTGTACTGTATTTATAATTGATATATTTATAATTCCATCATTTGCCTGAGTACAAAGATATTTGAATAAGTTCACATTTCTTTCTAAATTGCTGAATATTTGACAAGAATAACAGAAAGCAGAGAAAGTAAATGTGTGAGGGGACAGTGTGTGAGCTTCCACAGACTCTCACTGTGCTCCATGAGTCAGTGAAGATGCTGTCAGTACTGATGAGCTGTGAGGGAGATGAAGGAGGTTCTTCTGATGCATTATCAATGCATTTATAGTTATCTACTATTACATTTCTAAAAGTATCTTCATCATTTTTGACATTGGCATCTGAACCCTCTCCAGGTCTGAAAAGATGATGAGACTTTGAACTATCTCAAGCAGGACCATTGTTCTCTGAACTTACATGATGTGTTCTTTATTCAGACTCTGGTGCTGCTTCTTTGTAAACTCTGTGATCTTGAGTTGAATCAGTTTCTGTGGGTTTTGATTTGTCTGGCTGCACATCACGAGTTAGTGTAGAAGGAGCAGAGTTTATGATGTGAAGTCACCACTTTTTATTGAAGGTGAAGAACGTTGTCTTTCATATTAATGAGAGCTCTTTTCACTTTTTGGATCTTACTGTTTTTAACCTGTTGGGAGTGTCCACTTTATAAACGTCTACATTCTCTACTTCTCCAGCTATAATCAGATTATTAAACCTTTCATTATTTCAATCAGGAACATTGTTTTCTAAACTGACATCATGTGTTCTTTATTCAGTCTGGAGTACTGCAGCTTGTCAGAGATCAGCTGTTCTGCTCTGATCTCAGCTCTGAAGTACAACATCCATCTGAGAGATCTGGACCTGAGTTTCAACGCTCTGAAGGATTCAGGAGTGGAGCTGCTGAGAGATCTTCTGGAGAGCCCAGACTGCAGACTGGAGACTCTCAGGTCAGTAAGGGGTCGACTCAGTCTCTGCTGGTTCAGCAGGATTGTATTGAACACAGGGAGGTGGATGTGTTCCTCTCACTGGGGAATCTCTCCAGTTCCACCTTCCAGGCGTAGCCTAGCTTAGCACAACACATCAGTGATGTTACCATTTATCTGCAGTTTCTCCTTTTGTTCATCTCATGTTTCTTTTCTTGCGTTCTCCCAAGAACAATATAATGCAAGCTGACAATGCAAAGCCACATTTCAGTCAGGAGCAACTTGTTAACAGACACATCCTACTCTGCATAATTCACTCTGATCCTTTAAACACCTGGAATTCATCTTTTATTCTCCGTCATGTTTTTAAATAAATGACATTATAAACACATGAATACAATAATTACATATTTCTATTAAAACTTTCAAACACTAACAAATATGTTCAGTTGTTGCTGTTTCTAACATGTTTCTGAAGCTGCATGATGCTCAAACTGACTGAATAGTTTAAACTGAAGATGCTGTGATCTATGTCTCCACTATTCCTGAAATAAATATTCTCTATTTATTTTGATCACATTTCTTCTAAATTCATCCTGACTTCTTTGTAAACTCTGTGATCTTGAGTTGAATCAGTTTCTGTGGGTTTTGATTTGTCTGGCTGCACATCACGAGTTAGTCTAGAAGGAGCAGAGTTTATGATGTGAAGTCACCACTTTTTATTGAAGGTGAAGAACGTTGTCTTTCATATTAATGAGAGCTCTTTTCACTTTTTGGATCTTACTGTTTTTAACCTGTCGGGAGTGTCCACTTTATAAACGTCTACATTCTCTACTTCTCCAGCTATAATCAGATTATTAAACCTTTCATTATTTCAATCAGGAACATTGTTTTCTAAACTTACATCATGTGTTCTTTATTCAGTCTGATTCAATGCAGTTTGTCAGAGATCAGCTGGTCTGCTCTGGCCTCAGCTCTGAAGTCCAACATCCATCTGAGAGATCTGGACCTGGGTTACTACGTTCTGCAGGATTCAGGAGAGAAGCTGCTGAGAGATCTTCTGGAGAGCCCAGACTGCAGACTGGAGACTCTCAGGTCAGTAAGGGGTCGACTCAGTCTCTGCTGGTTCAGCAGGATTGTATTGAACACAGGGAGGTGGATGTGTTCCTCTCACTGGGGAATCTCTCCAGTTCCACCTTCCAGGCGTAGCCTAGCTTAGCACAACACATCAGTGATGTTACCATTTATCTGCAGTTTCTCCTTTTGTTCATCTCATGTTTCTTTTCTTGCGTTCTCCCAAGAACAATATAATGCAAGCTGACAATGCAAAGCCACATTTCAGTCAGGAGCAACTTCTTAACAGACACATCCTACTCTGCATAATTCACTCTGATCCTTTAAACACCTGAGTTGAAACTCGACGCTAAAGGGCCCCCCCTTGTGTTGGAAAGTGACGACAGGGACCCTGACACAACGTCAACATAGGCCGAGTTGTGAGTGAGAATGTGTTGTTCAGTCAGCTGCAACTCATTAACAGACACATTTTACAGTTAAAAAGTTAGTCTGTTTGTTTTTTCTATGAAGTTGTTTTGTTCCTGGACTAATGTCTAGTTAACTCTGTAATGCAGCTGAGAGCTGTGGCAGGCAGTCGTAGTGTTTGCAGAGAGGATATGATGGGATGTGAAGCATTGGATCAGGACTCTGAAGCTGACTCAAAGAACAAACACTTATTTTAAACTGGATCTCAAACTGTTGGATTGTGTTCATCCCTACAGGATCGGACATGAGACGATCAGATCCACGATCCAGAAGACCTGTGAGTACTGAAACCATGTCCTCCATTCATCAAGATATTGTACAATAAATCTGATCTTAAAAGGTATTTATAGTACAATAATTATTATTATTGTTTTATTATTATTTTTCTCACCTCTTCTCTCCATCAGGTGACTCCGATGTGGAACAGGAAGTGAAGACAGACACAAAGGTGAGAGAGGAGCAGCTGCACAGAGTTGAAGCTAGAACTTAACTTGATTTCTAATATAATAAATAACTTTGTTTGTTCCAGGCTCCTGAATCCTTCTCACCTGAACACACACCTGAGTCTTCATACAGGTAACCCTACAACATGACCAACTATTATTTTAAACACATTAAACACATATATGAATTTCATTGTGTTTGATGTCATGTCTTTCACCTTGAGGTTTTGCATCCAATCTCTTTCCAGCAGACATGAATAAAATAATGCCTCTGTGTGTAGGATTGTTTTCTTGTACCAGTCTAGATCCTCGCTGGACTAGACATTTTGTTAATTTAATGAAAGTGTACACACACATCCTGATGCATGTGGACACATCTTCAGTGATGTTCCTGTAACCATCAGGTGTTTCAGATCTTTCAACAAACCCTCCTCCAGGTCAGATCCAGCTGGATGAAAACCTGTCAGTCAGAACACAGGCCAGTGAAGGCTTGTTGTAGTAACTTGTCTCTTGTGTGTCTACAGGTTCAGGTGTCCTGGTCCAGGTGAGTTCCAGTGTGCTTCGACTGGCCTGGTGTTCGTCATGGCTCAGGAGGCGGAGCTTCTGTACAGGACGGTCCCTTGGGATGAGAGTCTCCTCCAATCAGCTGGCAAGCAGGCAGCAGGGCCGCTGTTCGACGTGAAGAGTTCTGTTGAAGCTGCCGTCTGCCGGCTCCACCTGCCGCACAGTGAGACAGAGGATGGTAAAGACATCTAGTGTTAACAAATACACTTATATAATGTTTAGCACCTTATGATATCCACTACCGTTCAGAAGTTATGAAGCAGCTTTATTAAACTAGTTTAACAAAGATAAGATAATTCAGACACGAAATCTGTTCTTTACATTCAAAATACTCGTGTCCCCAAAAGAAGAAGAATGAAATCATTAAAACATCCATTTAGTCGATGTGTTTCATGACATCATTATTGAAGCAGACGATGCAATGCAGCTCTAAATACTGAGTTGGAGTGTCTTTGGGCCTCTGCAGTCTCCTCACTGTATATTAAAGACATGTAAACTGTGACCTGTCAGTCCACAGCATGTTTAGCTGCTAACAGTGCTAACTCAACGCTAACTCACTCTAAGCTAGCAGTTTGATTAATTATTACTTTGTTATCCATCTGTTGCTCTTTCTGCTCTCTACATTGTCAGTCTGGCTGAAGCATGTACAAAACAAAACAACAGTCAACAACATTTATAAGTTAGACTTTCTACGCCCTGAAAGCTTTAGAAAACTCTTCACACGTCTAGAGAATCACTCAGACATGAGACCGGACTCAGTCCAGCTGTTCTGGCTGCAGATTACAAACATCTCAGCAGTCTTTAAATTAGAAGATAATTACGCATGCTCACCTCCAGAAAGATCACAGGGGGGCGGAACAATAATTAAACATTACAAATAAAAGGTGAAGGATATAAACTGGTACATCCTAGCGAGGCTCCAAAGTAAATGACATCAGATGAACATTAGCTCTGAACTAGTGTCATTGAATATGATGAAGCTGTTTCAGCAGCAATGCAACAGATGACCAGCTCTTTGCTCCACAGCGCTGCTCCTGGACGGCCTGTTGTCTGTCGTCCACATCACTGATGAAGGCCTGAGCATCTTGGAGCCGCTGGAGGTCACACGCACTCACGTGGTGGTGAAAGTGCCTCACCTCTCTCTCCTCGGCATTATCTTCGATCCATTGAAAAGGCTTCTAGGGTGGCCGATAAATGGCCAAATTCTGGTGTTCCTACGACCCCCGGACAGAGTGGACCAAATACTGGATGTACATCTTCTGCAGAACAACGTCCTTGTGGAGGAGGTAATGTGCTCACCATCAGACTAAACACTGGTTTTAAACCTGTTTCCACACACACTGCTCCTCTTCGCAAACGTTCTCGTGCTGGGAGAAGATTAAGATCTGAACTGAATCTTTTGCGTATATTGCTTGTGCAGATTTAATAATCAGTTCTTCATTATTAACATGGAGTGCCACACTCTACTTTGGTTATCAAACTCGAAGTTTACCTCAATACTTTAAAATACGTTAAAAAAGACATTAAGAAGTAGAGGCCCCCTACTGAGAGAGATAATATGACAGCAGTTGATAAAGCCAGTTGAGTAGCACTTGAAATGTGTTGGCTCTATGAAACCTGATGTACTTATATGATTCTGTTTTCTTCTAGTTTGTATCTTCTTGGTCGAATGCACTTATTGTAAGTCGCTTGGGATAAAAGCCTCAGCTAAATGTAATCTAATGTAATAGCACGATAGTTTAATTCTTTTAAAGTCTTTAAGCACGTTTTCTCTGCGGTCAGCACCAACTCTAGGTGGATGGACTACTAGTTACTTTAATACTAACTAGAAAATGCATTTCCTGCTGAAAATGCGTGTGAATGCTGTAAGCTGCACACATTTGTTGTTGAATTGCAGAAAAATCTGAATATGTTATTAGTTGAATGGTGACTAGCTGCTTTTCGCTACAAAAACCAAGTAAGTGTTATAACTCAAATGCATTGCACTGACTTTGTTGAAAACTTAACAGTGACATTTTAAACTGGAAGAGTAGGAAAAATAGTGATGAAGCTTAATAAACAAGAAAATGTATAGCCTAAATGTCCTGAAATAGCTGAATAATGTTGTAGTTGAATGGTTTTTGTAGCTGAAAGTAGGCTGAAGGAGTTAGATATGAAATGCACGTAGTAGTATACTATAAGTAAAAGTAGTAGTAGTAGTAATAGCTGTACTAGTAGTAGCAGCTGTAGTATAAGTAGCTGTAAAAGGAGTAGTAGTTGTATTAATAGTAGTGGTGTTAGTAGTATAAGTAGTAGTAGTATAAGTAGTAGTAGTAGTAGTAGTAGTAGTAGTAGTAGTAGTAGTGTTCTATCAGGGGGTCACAGGTTCAAACCCCACTGCAGTCAGCATGTCGTTGTGTCCCTGAGACACTTCACCCCAAATTGCTCCTGTGGGGATTGTCCACAGTATTGAGTATGTTAGTCACTTTGGATAAAAGCGTCTAACAAGTAACATGTAATGTAATGTCATGTTAGTAGTAGTTGTATGCGTAGTAGTGGTAGTAGTGGTGGTAGTAGTAGTAGTAGTAGTAGTAGTAGTAGTAGTTTTATGAGTAGTAGTGGTGGTAGTATAAGTAGTTGTAGTAGTAGTATTAGTAGTAGTATAAGTAGTAGTAGCAGTGGTAGTAGTTGTGGTAGTAGTAGTAGTAGTAGTAGTAGTATTAGTAGTAGTTGTATGAGCAGTAGTAGCAGTGGTAGTAGTTGTGTTAGTAGTAGTAGTAGCAGTGGTAGTAGCAGTGGCAGTAGTTGTGGTAGTAGTAGTAGTAGTAGTATTAGTAGTAGTATAATTAAGCAATAGCTCACGACAGGCCGTGGTATATGGCCATTATATCACAGTTAAGGGGCGTGGTTCGGCCCGACGCGAATGTTGCTACTGAAATCTTTTGAAATTATTTGAATAGAGTTTATATTTTGGGATTGAGAGCAGTTTTACAATATGTTAAAGACCCTCTAGCCCTGAGAGTCTGTCCCATATGCCCCCAGAAAATGACACCAGTAATGACAAACAGATGAGAATGCTGCGTGGGGTCTGGGTGCCGTGTTGGTGGGACGTTGCGGGGCTCGCTGCTCCGCCCTTTAAGGCTTGAGGAGCGGACAGTGTGAGCTGGATTACTGGTGTTGTTTCCTGGTTGCTGCGTGGGGCCTGAGCTCCACGGAGCACCGCGGAGCTCAGGCTGAGTGAGTGAGTGAGTGTGCAGAGCTTGGTCTATATCCAGCATCCAGGGAAACACAGCGGGAAATCCACCTCACACTGTCCGCTCCGGGACATGCTCGGGAGTCCCGCCCTGGCAGAGGGTGTGCCTATTGTTCTATAGCTGTGTGCCAATTGGTCCATTTGGACTTAGTGACGTCAATAGGCCCCGGAAGAAAAACATGGAAAAAGAAACATCTACAACGAGGTGTTCTGGGGCAGCACCAAGCCCCCAGGGTGTGCGCCGGACTCAGAGGCAAAAATGTGTTGTGTCCAAACGGCGGTACTACAATTTCCGTATCAGTCCGTGATATCACTGGGCCCAGAAAGACTTTTCCCCATTGACTAACATGGGGAAAGAAACGTCTGTAAATCAGCGGATAATCTTTTTTAAACTAAATAAACTACCCAGTATGAACTATCTTATAGCCCTTATTAGAATCTTTCGGTCCTTAAAGTTGTAAAATGCACTAAAAGCTGAATCTAGAGGTATTTTTTCTCTCTCCATTCATTCTAGCTAGCCGAGAGTGGGAGCTCAGGAGGCGGGGCTTAATGACATGAGGCGGGGCTTAAGGGGCGCATGCTCTGTGAGCTACATACGGGTTCTTCTGCTCTGACAGCCAGGCATGACGGGTAATCTGTGACGTTTCGTCTCTCAAAAGTTGGGCCATTTTACCTTCATGCGCCAATGAGCAGCTCTGATAGGAAAGAACGAGACCCCGCCTCCCACGCTCTATCCAGTTCTTACCCTGGGATCAGGATGTAGAGAGTCAGGATGTAGAGAGAGTCAGGATGTAGAGAGTCAGGACGATGAGAGTCAGGACGTAGAGAGTCAGGACGTAGAGAGTCAGGATGATGACAGTCAGGATGTAGAGAGTCAGGACGATGAGAGTCAGGACGTAGAGAGTCAGGACGACGATGAGAGTCAGGATGTAGAGAGTCAGGATGATGAGAGTCAGGACGTAGAGAGTCAGGACGTAGAGAGTCAGGACGATGACAGTCAGGATGTAGAGAGTCAGGACGATGAGAGTCAGGACGTAGAGAGTCAGGACGACGATGAGAGTCAGGATGTAGAGAGTCAGGATGATGAGAGTCAGGATGATGAGAGTCAGGATGTAGAGAGTCAGGACGATGAGAGTCAGGACGTAGAGAGTCAGGATGATGAGAGTCAGGATGTAGAGAGTCAGGATGTAGAGAGTCAGGATGTAGAGATGTAGAGAGTCAGGACGTAGAGAGTCAGGATGATGAGAGTCAGGATGTAGAGAGTCAGGACGTAGAGAGTCAGGACGTAGAGAGTCAGGACGATGAGAGTCAGGATGTAGAGAGTCAGGACGTAGAGAGTCAGGACGTAGAGAGTCAGGACGATGACAGTCAGGATGTAGAGAGTCAGGACGATGAGAGTCAGGACGTAGAGAGTCAGGACGACGATGAGAGTCAGGATGATGAGAGTCAGGACGTAGAGAGTCAGGACGTAGAGAGTCAGGACGATGACAGTCAGGATGTAGAGAGTCAGGACGATGAGAGTCAGGACGTAGAGAGTCAGGACGATGACAGTCAGGATGTAGAGAGTCAGGACGATGACAGTCAGGATGTAGAGAGTCAGGATGTAGAGAGTCAGGATGTAGAGAGTCAGGATGTAGAGAGTCAGGATGTAGAGAGTCAGGATGTAGAGAGTCAGGACGTAGAGAGTCAGGACGATGACAGTCAGGATGTAGAGAGTCAGGACGATGACAGTCAGGATGTAGAGAGTCAGGACGTAGAGAGTCAGGACGTAGAGAGTCAGGACGTAGAGAGTCAGGATGATGACAGTCAGGATGTAGAGAGTCAGGATGTAGAGAGTCAGGACGTAGAGAGTCAGGACGACGATGAGAGTCAGGATGTAGAGAGTCAGGACGTAGAGAGTCAGGACGACGATGAGAGTCAGGATGTAGAGAGTCAGGATGATGAGAGTCAGGATGTAGAGAGTCAGGACGATGAGAGTCAGGACGTAGAGAGTCAGGATGTAGAGAGTCAGGATGTAGAGATGTAGAGAGTCAGGATGATGAGAGTCAGGACGTAGAGAGTCAGGATGATGAGAGTCAGGATGTAGAGAGTCAGGACGTAGAGAGTCAGGACGTAGAGAGTCAGGACGATGAGAGTCAGGATGTAGAGAGTCAGGACGTAGAGAGTCAGGACGTAGAGAGTCAGGACGATGACAGTCAGGATGTAGAGAGTCAGGACGATGAGAGTCAGGACGTAGAGAGTCAGGACGACGATGAGAGTCAGGATGATGAGAGTCAGGACGTAGAGAGTCAGGACGTAGAGAGTCAGGACGATGAGAGTCAGGATGAGAGTCAGGATGATGAGAGTCAGGATGTAGAGAGTCAGGACGATGAGAGTCAGGATGAGAGTCAGGACGATGAGAGTCAGGATGAGAGTCAGGATGAGAGTCAGGATGTAGAGAGTCAGGATGTAGAGAGTCAGGATGATGAGAGTCAGGATGTAGAGAGTCAGGATGTAGAGAGTCAGGATGATGAGAGTCAGGATGTAGAGAGTCAGGATGTAGAGAGTCAGGACGATGAGAGTCAGGATGATGAGAGTCAGGATGATGAGAGTCAGGACATTGAGAGTCAGTATGTAGAGAGTCAGTATGTAGAGAGTCAGGACGATGAGAGTCAGGATGATGAGAGTCAGGATGTAGAGAGTCAGGATGTAGAGAGTCAGGATGATGAGAGTCAGGAGTCAGGATGTAGAGAGTCAGGATGTAGAGAGTCAGGAGTCAGGATGTAGAGAGTCAGGATGTAGAGAGTCAGGATGATGAGAGTCAGGATGGAGAGAGTCAGGACGTAGAGAGTCAGGATGATGAGAGTCAGGACGTAGAGAGTCAAGACGTAGAGAGTCAGGACGTAGAGAGTCAGGATGTAGAGTCAGAGTCTGGTTGCTAACAAACGCCATTGTAAAACATAGACACTGATGTTCTGCTGTAACGGTGGTGGACTCATCAGAACAGAGTGGGTGAGCTGACCAATCAGAGCACAGTGGGCTCATAGGGAGGGGGGGGGGCAGGAGCTCCAACAAGCCGTTTAGGACAGAGAGTGAATACACATACTATACAGAGATGCTGTATGAGAAACCAATGTGAGTTTGGAACATTGAACAATTTAAATCTATTCTAGTAGACCTCAACAATGGAATTATGATCAGTAGAAATGGTCATGCCATGGGACCTTTAATGGCGAGTACGGCAAATAAGAGTTGTAACAAGTAGTAGCGCTGAGCAAATTGAGAACACGACGACACACTTATAAAAAAAAAACACACTTTATAAAGTCAGGCAACACAAACCAGGCTTCGTGTGATTCTGTTTATTTGTACCTTACTTTGACCATCCGTTCGCTGTCATTGATCATTGTGGAGAGCAGGCAGACGTGTTGTTTTGTATTATAGCAGCTATCGGATGGAATCAATACATGGACTGCACAAGTTGTCATGTCCGACTATCACAAGTAGAATCATAATGAAAAATACGCCGGTAAAATGTGCCTGTAGAAAACGGCTTATGCCACAAGTTAAAGCAACAAGCAACAAGTAGCCTAGTCAATATAGTCAGTTTAGCTTTGGTTGCTATGCTAACATCACCCATTTTATACCAGAGAAACTTTCATAACAACGTTGTGATGCCAAACAGCGTCAATTCAGACTGACACACATTCACTTATTATGTCACGATGCAGCAGCGGCAGCACCAGTCGGGCTCTGAGTGGTGGAAACACTAAAGAGAAGAACCAGTTAAGCACCAGAAAAAGAACGGATCTTGAACCGGAACCGTTTTGGTGGAAAAGGGGCAAGAGACAACCATTATAAAATGTACCAAAACCTAAACAGTAAAAAACTGTAGAAGATATAAAAAATCTGAATACAAGTTCAATAGCTGAACGTCTTGTGTCTGTTTTAAAGTTGGAATGAAAGTATGTGGAAGGAGTAGCCTTTGGTGCACGTCGTACAGATGGAGCATCTTATTTCAGACAGTTTGAAACGCGAGGGTCGTGATTGCCTCGTGCACGGCCCGTGATCGGCCCGTGATCGGCCCGTGATCGGTTCGTGATGAAGAGCCGGCCCCCAGTCTGACTTGATACCGCCCCCGTGATAAATAAATGTAATTATTGTGAAGCCAGCTGCAATGGATCATTGATCCACCAGGGGGTGCAGTGGGGTTCCACACTGGAGCTCATGTGAAATCAACTTCGATACAGTAAGCTGGATGTACAGTATGTCTGGTACTAATGTATAGCGGATCTTTGTTAAGATCCATGTCACGGATAGGATCATAATCTGTGCTAAATAAGACATGTAATCATTTACAAAACATCACCATGTTGTTATTTAACAAAATAATGTTGTTTAGTCGAAAAAAACGAATGAGAGGAAATGCAGCCGGCTCTCCCGATTTTTAATCCTAATTTAATCATCATCTTCACCACGATCATTGATGTTTATGTTCGCCGAATTTACATGAAATCACTGACAAATATGAATATTCTGTATTCAACTTCATTAAAACGATCAGGACCCTGGGTGTTATTTTTTCCCCACAATGAGAAATAGTCAGAAAAGCAGAAAAAGAACACTTTTATTGGGTTCTTTTATTTGGGGTTAAGTATAGGTGAATTGCACTAATGTGGGAAAGATCGTGATGTCTCCTCCGATCTGCTTTATGATCTTCGTTCTCCCGCTGTGCAGATTGGGGGACCGCCGTCCTCTGTATTCAATGTTCGACATCGCGTGAAACAGAGGATTTCGACATTCTGTATTCCTTGCTTACTTCCTTAAACCTTTTCTCCTCCTTATCTCTTTCATGACTTTTTAGTTAATGCTTTATAACAGCTGTAATAGTTCGTTTAGAAATCCTAGAAACACTTTTACGGCAGCTCTCATTTACGGTAACTCCTTCTGACGTCATAGCTACCCACGTATAATATATAAACAAAGTCTTGGCTTTCAGAATATGAAACTTTTATTTCCAAAATCACACGATAAATACATTTGTGAAGCTTGTAAAGGGAAGATGACAGGCACCTCACTCGCAATCTGCTCCTCCGCAGCGCCGCCCCCCTCCCTCCGGCTGAAATTATGAATGTACAGTAAGGCATATAGTAATCATAGATAACACGGCAGGGTCCGTTACAGTTTGTTTTCATCTGATTTCAAATAAACAAAGTCTTGGCTTTCAGAATATTAAACTTGTTTCGGCAAATTTAGATGATAAATACAACTATGAAGCTTGTAACGGCATAATTACTTAAGCGGAGAACGGAGTAATTTAACGTTACAGCAGGCATAACAACAGCCGGTGTTTATTTTATTATTATATATAGTCGTTATTCATTTGTTTTAAAGCTCAATAAGGAAGATTTAAACTTTCACACACGTTGACCGGTGAAAAACTCTGCCCGGTTCCCTCGGTCCCCACCACGTTGAATAAACAGAAGGCTGCTTTTGTGGAGGAAGTTACAGCGCTACGTACAGGCTCGGCATATGTACTGCAGCTTTTTCCAGCGGTATCCATAAATCTCTTAATTTTGACCTCAAAGTGCACCAGATTCAATATAAAGAAAAACATCTTCTGTTGTAACAACAATAACATTATAAATAGTAACATAGCTGAACATGGTATTGCACATTTAGCTTTCAGTGTTACTGACCTGAGATGTTTTTATTACATGAATTAAGGTGACTGAGGCTTTTTAACATAGACTTTTCAGTGTCCCACATACCCACATACCGTTCACCACCATTCGCTTACGGCCGACAACACCCACCCCCCCCACCCGGTTGACAATTCACGAGCGTCTAACTCTCTCCCCCCCCCCCCCCCGTCGCACCTTCTAACAGAGCCCCCCCACATATCAAATCCCAATTTAACCCCTGGCCTCTGGAGCAGAAATTAAAGAGTTTTAAAAATGTTTACGTTTTGGTAAGTTTTTAGGGAAATGTTGTAATATTGCAACGTTGGCCTTAGGTGGGAGCAGAATTTCTGTATTTCTACTCACATTGTCTGAATAAATATATTGAACAACTAAGGGTTAATTTGCAGGATTGATTGCTTACTTAGCCCTATATCAGTATATAGCATGAATAATAATCACACATCACTCATATTTGTTATGAATAATCATTTATCATTTATTAAATAGTAAGTCGCTTTGGATAAAAGCGTCAGCTAAATGCAATTTATGAAAGCCTCACTCAGGATTTTTTTACCAAGTGTTTTTATTGCTCTTGGGGCATTAAAAACAAGATTTTAATTTTAGTTTTTTATATAATATCTGCATTTTCTCTTGTGAAAAACTAAGTTTGGCCATAGTTATTTAATATATAAAGACTATATATTATTGAATTACAAGATTAGATATACTTCATTTGATCTAAAATATTGATGTGTTCAAATGCTCTTCTAAACAAAACTGAAAGTCCATGAAAAGTTGTCTTCCTGTTTTTGTGAAGGAAGCGCCATCTCCTGGTTAAATCCTGAAATTGAAAATCTGGCAACGCCCTCTTGGAAAATAGTGGGAGGGCTTAACATTCCCAGATACTGGTCTTTGGCAGGTAACTGGCAGGTAGTAGGCAGGAAGCAGTAAGCTGGAGTCTGAAATAAGCTGCTCCATCTGTAGTTTAAAGAGGATTTGAAGGTTCCTCCCATTGAGTTACAAAAAATAGTTTATAAAGATGAATATTTCAAAAAAGTATACAACGTTTTGAAGTAATTTAAAGTTTTCCATCATGTTCTGAAAAGGCTGAATATTTTTGATATTTGGTTTCTGTAGCTGAAAGTATGCTGAAGTTATTGAGAGCTAAAATATAGAATAGAAGAATAAAGAAAAGGAATTAACTATTTGCTAATTTCCACCAGGCAAGACGTCTCGATGACGGGGAGTATTTGTTTAGATCAGTGGAGCAAAAAATCCTTAAACCGTGGGTTTTGTGCCGTTAAGGTTCGTTGTGGCTTTACAACATCCTTTGCTTGTCTTCAGGTCAGAGCCGGACATTAAGTATTAAAACTGGGGAGTTTTGTCCTTGATCTTCCATTAGACATCATAGTGATGTTAGCCATGGCTAGCCAACCCTCTGGTAGTTTTTAGGGATTAGAGCCGGCATCTTGTGTGATCGCATACAGGAATTGGTCATGTGATTAATATGCATTCATTCTTTTAACGCGTCAAGGTTTCCAGATTAATCGCGAGTTTTGACACGTTAATCTTGACAACCCTAATAAATATATAGAGAATGTGTTGGAGTGGAATTTCATCAAAAAGTATCTAACCTATACACTTTAATTTATCTACACACAATATGTCCACATACTGTTATTCTTAATTGATTGTAATTCTTATATCTCTGTAGAGCAGGTCTGTCAACATGTTGTTTTAAATTGATCAAAATGTCCTGTTACTGAAGGTTGCTGAAAAACAAGAAGGTGCTGTGAACATCAGACTCTCCTCCAACTGTGAGCTGCACATTCATCACAGATACAGTGTGCACTGTGAACCTGAGGACTGTGATATGGTGTATATCACACACCCTGAGGTGAGTCACTGATACTCTTCTAAAGAAACACAATGATCATTTACACACATTTATCTGCATGTGGATCCACAATCAGGAAAGATCCAGATCAACATTTAACTTCTTCTTCTGGTTTTCAGAGTAAAAAATTTGAATCCAGGTTTGGACCAAACTACCATCCGACATTTCTAGTTTACCTGACGACGAGCACAGAGAAAGTGGTGTTGAAGGTCAAGGACCAAGGTGGAAAAGTCGTCTGGTATTGTCCCGTATCACTGGAAGGTAAAGACTCCACCTGAGCTCAGACCCAGTGATAGACTGGATAACTCTAAAGCTCCATCTCACAGCCTTCTCTATTAAGGCTCCATGGCAGCGCATCATTACGACATTAAACACACAACCTGTAATATTCCTAAACTATAGTAAAAACTAGTGTTGTGTGGTGGTGAAACAGCGTGGCATCATGGGAGTTGTAGTCTTCATCTTCTAATGGTTAATTGGATACGCCGCCATTACAGGAGACCGTGATGAACGTACTGTTACCTTTAAAATTACACATCTCTCTGAACCATTTGGGATAATGTACGTACACAACTCAACAAAACATGAATAACATAGGTGTAGGAGATTTTATACATTTTAACCTGTTAAGCCCTGAGCCCATTTTCCCCTGTTTATCTACCAGGTCCAAGGCGGCAATTACCCCAGAGAAATGTCCCAGCAGAGAGCAGAGTCCCAGCAGACAGCAGCGTCCCAGCAGACAGCAGCGTCCCAGCAGAGAGCAGCGTCCCAACAGAGAGCAGAGTCCCAGCAGAGAGCAGAGTCCCAGCAGAGAGCAGAGTCCCAGCAGAGAGCAGAGTCCCAGCAGAGAGCAGAGTCCCAGCAGAGAGCAGCGTCCCAGCAGAGAGCAGAGTCCCAGCAGAGAGCAGAGTCCCAGCAGACCAGAGGCTGCGCTCAGTTCGGACAGAGTTCAAAGAAAGAGTGTCTCCACCTGTCCTGAAGGACCTTCTGGATAAACTCCTTGAGTCTGGAGTTATCAGTGAATCTGAAATGGAGTCGGCCAGAACCAAATCCCGAAATGACGGCGCACTTGAGGTGCTGGACGTGGTGCGAAAAAAAGGAGCTGCAGCCAGCAGGGTTCTGATCAACGCTCTCCGTGAGCTGGACCTGTATCTTTACAGAGAGCTCAACTTGAGCTGAGGCAAAACCTTGTGGAGTGTGTGTGTGACAGTTGAAGTCTAGTCCTCTGTTTTGTTACCTGTACATTTTCCCCCTTGTCCTTGAAGGTAACACAGATTCTGAGCGAAGGCCACTTTCCTTCTCTCTTTTCTCCTGGACTCCCTCCTGAGAGCAAGTACATGTTTGGTCTTGGTCTTAAGTTGTTTATGTTTGCACCACAATACACCAGAGCTAATCCCTCTGTGGCCGTATCTCATTTCTGAGATTCCCCCTCCTCGACTCCTCGGTCCTCCGGTAGTGACCCGGAAATGAATTTCAGCGCGCCATGTTGAAGGACATCTAATTTCTCTAAATGCACTTTGAGGACCGAGGATCGAGCGTCGAGGAGGCTCTCTGGAGGAGCTCTAACCGAGGATACACTGATGGGTCCTCCACGGCTCCTTCGTGGATGCATTTCCGGCAACAGAGATGTTTCAAAGAGTCGTGACGCACGGCCGGACTGATCTCAGCCAATCACAGCTCTGCATGCATCCCCTGGATATTATTTTATTAACTGCTTTCATCAGACGCGATGTTTACAGAGAGAACAGCTGTGAGGTCCGTGCAGAAAGCAGAGCAGTGTGTATAATATATATCACTCAGTATAACAGGCCTACTCTCTTTATTTGCTTTAGTTTAGTAGATATCTACAAACAAAGTCGATATTTTTCTAAAACCATTTAGTGCTTCACAAAATAAAATACACAACGGCTGTAGCCTGATGATATGCTTTAGGAGCTGTAGGTGCGTGTGTGTGGTGTAGGTGTGTGTGGTACAGTGTGTGCGTAGATGCAGCGGACAGACAGGTCTCAGTTGGTTTGGTGTCCTCTGCTTACTTGTAATACTTGTAAATAAAACTTTTGGCCCGTAATTTATTTTCCTCATTGTTGCGACCAGAGAGGGGGGGGGGGGGGGATATATCCAGTCTCTGATAGTGTTACGTTATTATGAGAATGCTCTGTTTGATTCTGAAATTGTATATATTTATATAAGTGTGTGTGTGTGTGTGTCTGCATCTGTAGCCTGTTATTGTCTCATTATACCGCACTGTGAATGAATCAAAGTAAATATATAAGTCATCATGAACACATCTGTCCATCAGACAGAGGGCTGCTGTGCCTCCTGTCATCATTAATGGACGTCTCTTTAAAATGACCGCTCAGAGGAGAGGAGTTCTCATTTCTCTAACCGCCTGCTGCTTCCCCTCCTCTCTCCTCGGTTCCCCTCCTCGAGTCCTCCGCTCGCATCTCCTGTGGGCGGGACTAAGTCTTGAGGATAGGAGTCGAGGAGGGGAATTAGAGAAATGAGATATGGCCTGTGTGTGTGTGGTCAGATAGAATGTTGGAGAATAAAACAGTTTAAAGAGTTCATATACAGTTTTATTCAAGAATCAACACCATAGTATTTACATTCCCATAATGCACTTGTGCTGCTTTTACAGGAAGAAGAAGTTTATTTATTTGTAAAAGCTTCTTATAGGCATCTTTAATAAGCAGTTTCTTTCTCACTGTTCACTTTAATCAGATATACAACAGAGAGAAGCAACAGATGGCATTCAAACACAGAATTTAATTTGTGTGTGTGTTCTACATGCTGAGATGCAGCCCCCCGTCCACCAGTAGCTCCGCCCCCGTCATATACTGACTCTCCAGCAGGAAGAGGACGGCCTGAGCCACTTCCTGTCCGGTGCCAAACCTCCGGAGAGGGATCAGACGCTCCGTCATGTTGGTCCGGATAAAACCTGCAGGACGAGGGGGTTCATAAGATAAGGTAAGATGAGGTAAGGTAAGGTAAGATAAGGTAAGGTAAGATGAGATAAGGTAAGGTAAGATGAGATAAGGTAAGGTGAGATGAGATAATGTGAGTTGAGGTAAGTTGATTTTTAAAACAAATTGTATTTGCATTGTTTGAACTATACACCCACCCTGCAAAAGAGTCGGAAAAAACCTAATACATTACAAAATCAAATAACTAAACAGATTTTCATGACTTCCAAATAAATATCATTTAAAAACATCCTCTTTTACACACTTTAAAGCTCCCATGTCATGCTTTTCCGGTTATTACCCATCCCCTTGTGTGTTATGAAGGTTTTTATGCATGTAAACGGTGTGCAGAGTCAAAACCCTCAAAGTACACCCTGTAGCGAGTAAAACTCTAACACAGAAAATACCTCCCCAAAACGCCTCGTTGGAGATACGTCACTGCCCATTTGAGTCTTCCATTTAGTTCCGGGTACCGCCTGATGTCATGCGGTACCCGGAACGAAATGGACCAATCCCGAAGAGCTATGGCCACACCAGCAGCGGCGTGTTCCTCCTCCAGAGGTTCGAAGAACCGGCATTTCACAGACGAAAGCTTCCAAAACATTGCCCAGTTTGAGGCCGGATATGCACAGCTTGTTTGGACCGTTTGGAGCAGGGGAAGATCTGGGTATACAACCTGTAAGTTTGCATTGTTATTTGTGTATTTATCAAACAAGACTGTTTAAATGTGTAAACTGTGTTGGACTGCTAAGCCATTGACACAGTGCTAACTGTGCTAACTAAGTTGCTAGAGTTTCCATATATCAACTCTAATATCAGCAGATGGCCTTGCATACATGTATCTCATAGCAGGAGAATGTCTGCATTCACACACAAAATACCTATTGACAGTATACTCCGGGTGATTTGCCGGTCAGTCGCAAAACGTAATTACATTATAGCTGGCGTAGCGATCTAACACACGGAGCTAGAGCTAGTTTTGGTCAGAAAAAACATTTTTGTGATGCTACGTTGCTAGCGTTTAAATATATCAACTACAATGTCAGCAGATGGCCTTACATGTTTGTCATGGCAGGAGAATGTCTGCAGTCACACACACGGAATACTCATACAGTATACTGTACTGTGATTTACCGTACATTGTGACCGTACATATACTGCATGTAGCTAACGAGGCTAGCTGTATGCTAGCGCAAAACAATGTATTCATGCAAGTTACATTGTATGACCGAACGTAGCAGAATACCCGTATACGATTGCAATTATAAACACGTTATTGCTAGCCTAATATGAACCACTAGCTTTTGTTCATAGTAGTTTTATTACACTGCATTATAGTTGCCTTTCCTCCAAGCTAACGTTCATATCGTGTTAGCTACCAAGGTAAACAAAGCTAGGTTAGCATATTAGCAGGCAAGCTGTTCATTACACAACTACTACTAACGAATCTAAAACAACTAAGTTTCTCTAATATTTTGTGATTTGCATTTGATTTCGTCCAGCCAGATCCTGGCGGACAATCCATGACGGGGAAGGGATTCTACTACTACTGAGGGTGCTAAAAGGCACCGCACCGACTGTGCGCAGGCAAGATGCGAGGAGGAGGAATGGATGATATACCGTGTATATATGTATATTTATGTTCATTTTGTACATTTCTAAAAATAAAGTTTAATGGAAATACTTAGTAGGCCTATCCTTTCTTCCCTGAATTCATATATAGCAAACCATGATTTGATTTCTCATCAAACAGTAGTAGTTTATAACGGGTAAAAATAACTTACTCTTTGTTATGAGAGTAGCTCGTAGGCCACAACGGAAAGACAAGGAGACATACACGAGTTTACAAAACCACGGCACATTTATTGTGGTAAATGCAGAGACAGGTGGTTGAGAGGATCGCAGAGTTAGTCTTCCTGCAGCCGCTTTGGAGAGAGACTGTGTCCGGAGGTGTCCGTGATCGTGCTGATTAGCCTCTTCAGCTCCACCCCATCGTAAGACAAAGGCCCTGGGGCCGTCACACTCTTCTATAACAACAGTTAAAAATATATATGTATATAAAATATACCGCTGTACCGACGCCATGATAAGACTGATGTTACGCTGAGAGCAGCCGGGAAAAGCACTGACATGGGCGCAGCCTCTCTGGTGGTTGACTAATCAGAACGAGTGGCCGAGCTGACCAATCGGAGCACACTAGGCTCACAGGGAGGGGGGGGCAAGAGCTCCAACGAGTCGTTTAGTGGAGAAAGTGAATACTGCTGAATACACATGCTTGACAGAGATGCTGTATGCGAAACCAATGTGAGTTTGGAAAATTGCACAGTATAAATCTATTTTAGTATACCTCAACAATGTAATTATGATCAGTGGAAATGGCCATGACATGGGCCCTTTAAACACAAAGACTACATCTATCCTTTAAAACTTCAATATTAGAGACTCCTTCTCCCCCAGTGAGCACAGACCCTGCCCAACAGCCCACACATCCAGAACCCCCTGCAGATGGTGGATCAGTGTGTAGCATGCTCCACCCTCAGACGCGCTGCCACCAGCCCCCTCAGACAGAGCACTGCATCCGTCCATCCAACTCCAGGAACTTGGTTCTTTCTACTTTTCCAGATCGCTCATTTTGCATTAGCAAACAAGAAATGTATCAGTACTAAAGTTTCCCTCTTTTTCAGGGTGTATTTGGGGCCATGGACACAAAGTGGTATGGAGAAAACCTCCCCCAACCCTTCCACCCACTCCTGTAACATTTTTTTTAGACCAGCCAATCTGGGACAGGACACCACTAAATGCTCCAATGTTTCTGCTATAAAACAGAACGGACAGCGCCCCCTTGTGCCCGGGTCAAAATGAGCTCTGTATTTGTTAGTGGCTATTGCTCCATGTATGATTCTCCATTGGATGTCAGCCATCCGTTTCTCAACCAGAGATTTATACAGGATCCTCCAGCTGCCCTGAGGGGAAAAGCCCAAGCCAAACACATCCGTCCACTTCGACTCTGACGCCTGCGAGCGAGCTGAGGTTTAGCACCTTTACGCAGCTAAGGTATAGCTGCTTCCCATTGCAGGAGCTGAACGTTCCAGGTGTTAGAGTCCCCAGAGATAGCAGGAGACCATCCTCCTCTCTCCATTCCCCCACCGCAGGATCCTCACTCAGGGCAGGAAAGACATACTCATGTCCCTTTCTCCACTGGTCAGCCAGATCTGCATCCAGAGCAAAAGTCCGGTGGGATGGCGACAGCGACTGCCACACCTCATCTACCAAGTTCTCCAGAACTCGGGTTGATCGAATGCCCGTCACCTCAGCCGGTGTTTCTGTGGAGATCCCTGTCAAATGGCCAAGTTTTACCACTCCCGCTTCGATGAACGCGTTCTTTAGGGTGGCCGAAGAGAAAAAGGTTCAAGAAAGAAAACCAGTGTCAAACAGTGGCTCCTCAAACAGCCACATCCCAGGCCGGGGGTCGGGTGGTCTGGTAAAACTCAGAATCTTCCAGGCATTGATGACTGAGCAGTAAAAAGGTTTAAGTCCAGTTATCTTGTACGCAGGGGCCTTCAGCAGAAACAGGTGTTTATCCAAACCAAAGCCCCCTGCCCTCCAGAGCAACAGCCGGGCCATAGCCAGCCAGCAGGGAGAGGCACCATACAGCAGCCGCTGCGCTGCCTGCAGTCTAAAAGCAGCAGTCCTCGCAGTAATGTCCACAAGGCCCTGCCCCCCCTCTGCCACAGGTGGGTACAGGACCGATGCTGGCACCCAGTGATGACCCGACCAGAAGAAATCCACGAGGAGCAACAGGTCATGGTGGTGGGCTGTTACAGACCCCTCTCAGCTGCCAAGGACTCCTTGTCTTCACTAGCAAATCTTTTATCTCAACTTGACTATAAGGAAATAGTGCTGCTTGGAGATTTGAACTGGGACTGGTTAACTGCAGTATCAGAGGATTTTAAAAACCTTTGTATCTCTCTGAATGTTACTCAGATTGTTAACAGTCCTACTCGCCCTAACATTAAGTCCCCTAATAAATCCTCCCTAATTGATCTCATTCTAACTAATGTTCCCTATAAATGCTCATCTGTGGGAGTATTTGCAAATGATGTGAGTGACCACTGTGCTGTAGCCACAATTAGGGACACTAAGGTCCAAAAGGTTAAATCCCGTATTATTATAAAGAGAGACATTAAACATTTTGTGGAGCAGGGTTTTGTTCATGATCTGTTTGGCTTTGATTGGGGAAAAATCGATCTGTGTGCTGATATAGAAACGGCATGGTCTTATTTTTATCTTGGTTTTATGGAGATCATTGATAGACATGCACCCCTGCGTACATTTAGAGTAAAGGGATGAGATAATCCTTGGTTTCCTGCTGAACTGTCCAGTCTCCTACATGAGAGAAACAAGGCCTGGGCAAAGGCTAGGAAATCAGGCTCAGAGGTAGAATGGCTGAGTTTTAGGCAGCTAAGGAATAGCTTCACTTCACATGTCAAAAGTGCTAAGTCGGAGTACTATTTGTCAGTTACCACAGAAAACCTGAATAATCCTAGAACATTTTGGAAAGCCATAAAATCGATATCCACCAGTGAGATCCGTAATGAGCTACCTCCGTGCCTTACCACAGCATCTGGCTCTATATCGGACAGGGCCACCATGTTACATTGTTTTGATGAGCATTTTGTGTCCTGTGGCTCTCTGTTTGATTCTGTGACTAACTCTGCTTCTGTGAACACCACAGTCGGTGACTCTGAACAATGTGGTCTGGAAAACCCTTTCAGTTTTACTCCTTTTACTGTAAATGTTGTTCATGAAGCTTTATCCAAGTTAGATCCTAAGAAACCGGCTGATTTTATTGCTCCACCTCTCACTTCTCTTTTTAACCTCTCCCTCAGCACAAATGCAATTCCTAAAGTATGGAAGTCAGCGTATGTCCTGCCTTTACTGAAAGGAGGGGAGGCGCACCTTATTAAATAAGTATAGACCCATCTCTAAATGATCAGTTCTGGCTAAGGTTCTTGAACGCCTAGTGAGTGAACAGGTAAAGGTGTTTTTATGTAAAGTCCGGCTTCAGAAAGCAACATAGCACCATCACTGCCACAATGAAAGTGGTGAATGACATTACGAGTATTTTAGATAATAAGCAGAGCTGTGCAGCTCTATTTATTGACCTCTCCAAAGCGTTTGATACCGTCGATCATCACATCTTAAAGCAGAGGCTACTCAGTATTGGCTTATCCAGCCATGCAGTGGGGTGGTTTGTGAACTACCTCTCTGAAAGGTCCCAATGTGTTCACTTTGATGGGCTGTCTTCTGAGTGGTTAAACATTGCTAATGGTGTTCCTCAAGGTTCTGTTTTAGGTCCACTTTTATTCTCCATCTACATCAATAGTTTAGGTGAAAATGTGGATGAAGCTACTTTACATTTGTATGCAGATGATACCGTGATGTACTGTGCAGGTCCCTCCATTAAGGAGGCTGGTGTTAAATTACAGGCTGTTTTTAACATTATTCAGACTCAGCTCGCTGAGCTTAAGCTTCTTTTAAATGTTGATAAAACCAAGGTAATGCTTTTTTCTAAAGCTAAACAGACTCCAGAGACTGCTTTGGATATTGTAACTGCGCAAGGAAAAGTACTAGAAGTGGTTGCCTGTTACAAATACCTTGGTATCTGGCTTGATGATTGTCTCTCTTTTAAACTTCAGGTCAATAACCTGCTTAGAAAGCTGAGGGTGAAGCTAGGTTTCTTTTTCAGAAACAAGTCCTGTTTCTCACTTGAAGCCAGGAAAAGGCTCTGTGACCTTTTGACCTGTGCTGGACTAAGGTGATCTGGTCTATATGAATGCACTGTGATACTATGGGTACTTGTAAATGTTGATAACTATGTAATTGTAGCGTGTAAATATAATGTATGATGTCTTTTTATTGTTTTTATGTTATAAAAGGGTGTACCAAGAAGTCAGTTAAGTCGCTTCAGCTGATTCAAAATGCTGCAGCACGTGTACTAACCAGAGTTCTGAAAAGCCTTACTTCTTCCTTCTCTCTGTCTGTACCTGTGTACTCTCATGCTCCCAACAACCCAGCTTCCTGGAGCGCGAGCCCTGGATCCTGAGTCCTGGATGGATATCCTCGAGGATTCATCTTCTTATTATAGACACATGCATTTCCAAACATTTGGTCTACCTATGCTGTAAAATGTATTATCTCTTCAATTAACACACGGTATCTATTGCACGTCTGTCCGTCCTGGGAGAGGGATCCCTCCTCTGTTGCTCTCCCTGAGGTTTCTCCCATGTTCCTTTAAACTCTGGGGTTTCTCTGGAAGTGTTTCCTTGTACGATGTGAGGGTCTAAGGACAGAGGGTGTCGTATTGTCATACTGATATTCTGTACAAACTGTGAAGTCCACTGAGACAAATGTAACATTTGTGATATTGGGCTATATCAATAAACATTGATTGATTGATTGATTGATTAATTAAATATAGGCCTTGTAACTAACTCACTGATTACGGTATGACTCGCTTGAAGTGAATATTTCCTCCCTTGTTGTTCAGAGTTTGGTTATTTATGGTTTTTGCACTTATTGTGAGTTTCTTTGGATAAAAGCGTCAGCTAGATGTAATGCAATGTTGTTGTTGTTGTGTTGTTGTTGTTGTTGTGTACCTGGAAGCAGCAGGTTGACTCTGACGTTTCTTGAAGACACTTCTTTAGCCAGAGAGCGAGTGAAGCCCTGCAGACCGGACTTCGAGGCGCTGTAGACGCTCTGACCCGCGTTCCCCTTCAGACCCACCACAGAGCCTGGGACAACAACAACAACAACAACAAACAGGAAGGTTGTAAATAAGCTCTGGCAGCAAGCTTCATGTGTTTACTGCACTTAAAAGATTAGAGGTACTTTATTGATCCCAAATTGGGAGCTGCATTGCACATGAGTAGAAATGAAAGAGTAGAGATAAACAATAATAGAATTAAAACAGCTTTAAAAAGTAGAGAATATACAGCAGAGCGTGAAGATGAAACATCGTATAAAACTTGTCTATGTGAATATTAATGTGTAAAAAAGGGTTAAAAAGAAACAAGATTCATAATCTTCCAGTTCCTTGTTTATTTTTAGGGTTAAAATAAATTAAATGTTAAATGTAATGGCCTCTAAATCCTAAAGTGATGCACGCTGCCCCCTAGTGTCCAGAATAAGAACCACAGCTGTATTTCCTCACCGATGTTGACGATGGCGCCGCCTGGTGGCCGCAGCATGCTGCGCAGCGCCGCCCTGCAGGTCAGCATGGAGCCCAGCAGGTTAGTGTGGAGCATATGGCGCGTTTCCACTACAGCGCGCAGCCCGGTTTAAGAGGGCTGTGACGTGAGCGGCCCGTTTGTGGTTGCGTTTCCACTTGGCCTAGTACCGGCCGGCGGGTCCTAATTCACAGTTTTTCTGGTCTCATAAAATCGTGGGGCCAGGGCCAAAGACAACCGGGCTGAGTTTGTGACGTCAACGCTCTCGGCTGCTGATTGGTCGGAGAGAATCGTCACAATCTGCGCGCGAGATAATCCATTTTTACAAACAGCATTTTTGTTAACAGAGGAGCTACAACAATGGCAAAGAAAAGCACACCATGGTCGGTCGAGGAAGTGACGACGTCCATTATATTGCAGATGATAAGGTCCAGCGGGTGCTCGACGGGACAACTCGCAATATCAAAGTCTTTCAGGAGGTCTCTACACAGACACTGGACTCTCCAACGGCGTTACTGGAGTCTGCATGGTACGTTTTTGCTAACGCTCTGTTATTTGCTTGAAAGCTTTGTGTCCCTGCTTTGTGTCCCTATCTGTTCTAAAGCTCACTTCTAACAAATAAGTCTATTTTATCCTTACATTTATGTTCGACAACCGAAGGCTAGCTAGCTAGCTAAGGCAGATAGCATTAGCGAGAGCTATTGTTTGCTAACACCATATGTGCCATTGTTTACGTTCAGTTTGTCTTTTCTATAGTTGTTGTTGCTATTTATAGTATTGTGCTGCAGTAGTTTGTGGAATTTACAAGTCATGTTTCTGTTCTAGATGATTACATTGGGACTAGCGAGGAGGAACAGTTCCGAACAACGTCCTCTGCATCAACAGCACAAACCGAGGAGAGGATCTGGCCCTGCAGGAACGGCAACTGGCCCAGCAGAATCAATGCCATGTCTTATCTTATTGCTTGTTGATAAATAATTGCACCCACCAGCGATCGCACAGAAAGATGGCATCATCTAGGCGTCCCTCTGCAGTCAGAAATATCATAAACACCATCGTCCACAAAGCACTGTACAGGGGTTTATGGATTTAAGAGAATACTTATCACAGTGAAACCTTTATCATCTGTTGCAATTAAAGCAAATAAGAGAATAAATACTTGGTTAAATAATACATTTTAACTCTTTAGCAGGACAACTCCATACCTGCCAACCCTACCGATTTGGGCGGTAGTCTACCGCTTTTGACATGTTTCTACCGCCTACCGACTTAGCTGACTCTCCCTACCGATTTTCAATCTTCCCAAACTATAACAAATAAAAATGACACTACATAGACACTGGACTCGACTTTTGGCGGACACCGTTTGCAGCGTGTCTGTGATCCCATCATACAAACAGTCCTCTGTGTTTCAGTCGATCGCGAGATGTGTCTAAAAATAGAACAACAATATTCTGTTTTATCGTTAATGTCCTATAACATAATCTTCCTGTGCCAGAATAATGCACTTGAACGCATCAAAGCTTTGTGATTGGCGTGACCCCATGTATCGGGGCGTGGCTGGTAGTCAGTGGGCACTAGTTTGCTGTGCAGTCCGCACACACAAGACCACAATTATGGCAGAAGCAAAAGAGCCCAAAATATATAATTTTCACTCCGAGTGGGAGGATGATTATTTTTGTATCTATTCCAATTCAAAGTCCATCTGTCTCATCTGCAATGCGAGCGTGGCTTTACCGAAGAAGGGTAATTTAGGAGCGGCATTTCAAAACAGTGCACAAACGCTACGAGACGGAATTCCCTCCTAACTCTGCCCTACGCTCCCAAAAGGTGAGGGACCTGAAAGGACAGCTAAATGCACAGCAGTCCATTTTCACCAGGCCCAACAACAAGAGCAAGGCTGCTACCATAGCATCTTATCGTGTCAGTCACGTTCTTGCGAAACACATGAAGTCTTTCAAAGACGGCGAAGTTGTGAAAGAAGCATTCCTGGAGGCTGCCGACGCGCTTTTTGGGGACAGTAAAAATAACAGTAGCATTTCAACAGGTTTTTGATATAATAAAAACTCAAGTTAGATACCGTTATTAATCAGCTTTAAGTTTTAGTTTGTTTGAACTTATTCATTATAATTATTGTACAAAATGGTATAAGAATGCAAACTTTAAGATCTGTTCTGTTTAAATTGATTATAGTCTATTATCAATTCAGGTTAAGAAACTAGTGTTGCTTGCATCCTATTTTAAAGGCATTTCTTTTTATACTCTACTAAAATGCAACAAAAAAAGGGTTTGATTCTATTAATTTTGTCTTTTTTATTGCACTTTGGCAGCAGATTCCTGTGTAGCTTCAGATCTGAGTTGTCTTATTAGTAAAACTAATTTATACTTTTGTAGCAACACTATTTTTATATAATGACAAAGAAAGGGTTCAGTCTTTTCTTTTTTTCCTGTGTCATATGTGGCAGCACTGTTCAATGCTTCTTGAAAACATTACCCACTGTAGTTTGTGACGTGTGAATAAACTCCAACTCTGTATCAACAACACTGTTGTGTAACTTCAGTTAAATACTTGTGTGTGTGTTGATTAGAAAGAGGTAAGATAAAGGATCTGCAGTATTTTATGAAGTATTAATCGTACAAAGGTCAGTTTTATACAAGTAGAAGTGTGTATTTACCTGGTAGTAGGCTGTCAGTAATGGCCTCTCTATTTGGACTGGTAGATCTCGGCAGACTGGCCACTTTAAAAGTAGCTCTCGGTTCAAAAAAGGTTGGGCACCCCTGATCTACACTGTCAAGGTTCAAGGTTCTTTATTGTCAAACTAACATAGCTACAGAGTAATTATGTTGTTGAAAATCTTATGTCACAGGCTTCTCCAACAATGCAACTGAAAGAGGACCAGAAACACATTAAAAATATAATAAAATGTGGAGACTTTGGGATATTTATCTCCCATTCTTTTACTTTTCGGGCATTTTACAGACCAAACATGTCGTTGATGTCACTGTTTACCAAACTACCACTTTTTCTGAAAAATGCATAAAATGATGCAATATATGTTAAATACATGGTTTATACATGTAATTACTGGGGTTCCATTTCTTCTGATTACCTAATTTGGGCGTGCACATTTGCCGCGCGCAAACCTACCTCTTTTGGATTTGGAAATGTTGGCATGTATGCAACTCTGCATACTGTTTGAAATTGAGTTTGCTAGCTTGAGGTCCTCCTCTAAAACATAACATTACATATTTTGTAATGGTATTAAGAATACATGATAAATACATGTAGTAAAAATTACTCAATTGTAATACCCTCGTTGTGCTAGACTCAAACACATTGCTTATATATTTCAAAGAGAAGAGAACAAAAGAAAACACCTATACAAAGAGAGCGGTGCACAGCGCTTAATATTTACTTGCACTATATTTCTGTTGATCTGGGTTATTGTGTTGCACTGTTGGAGGAGCCTGTGACCTAAGATGTTCATTGTCATAACTACACTAGCTATGTTCGTATGACAAAATAAAAAACCTTGAACCTTGAGGCTGTGTCTTTCAGACAAACCATCATAATCATATTATTTTATGCTGTGGATACTTTAGCCTCCATCCATGTTAACAATTGTTTACACTTGCATTTATGAATATAGTTCTGTTGTGTTTTACACTTTTGTATTTATGTTTATAGTTTGCTTTGATATTTGCTTAATTTATTAGATTATTATTATTATGGGGGCAGTACTGGTGCTTGAAATTCAAATATTTACTAAATAGTCAATTCTAACAAACACATGTATGTGAAAAAGAAAAGATGTATTTATGTTCAATACAATACAATGAATATTTAGGTATTACATTATACATTCTAGGTATTCAGGTAGCGCATCAGACCCTCTCGTATGTCCCTGCCCTCCTCTGCACCTTGTGCCACTGCTACCCCTGGTAGACGTAGGTTTTCCTCAGGCATCCTGAAGTTCTCCACTGAGTGTGTGTGAAAGATGGAACAATCACATTCCACCACTCGGTAGCTCGGTCGAGCATCCAAACACATGGTCGGCGGCGACGTAACTTCTGAAATACACAAACAAAAGCATACATATTTTAATACGTAAAAGTGGTAGCTACAATTAATTAAATACTTGAAATACTTTGGTCGTATAGGGAGCGTGAGCCTAAACACATTGCTAGTTAGCGAACGTTAGCTTACCAAGTAGCATTGTAGTTAGTAGTGATTCGAGTCGTCCTAGTCTCTGCGGCGTAGGAGGACTGCCCGAACTCTCGCGTCAGCTTCTTCTATACCTCGTCTTGCTATACGTCGCCTCTTTCGAAACAACTCTTGTCTATTTCTTGTGATAATAAACCACACAGCAAAAAACAAGCAAACGATCGCTTTCACATCTCCACATCCTCCATTGTTGTGTCGCATTGAAGATGACGTCACGGCAGTTTTAAGCAGCGTCGCTCCGCCTACACTGCGTTACTATAGATTACCATGGTTGCTGATTGGCTAATGGTTACACAAGACAAAACATCGTTATGACATCATCAAGTGGCCAAAATCTGATCAGCTCATTTTCAAACAGGTTTTTATATAAATGGATCAAAAAGAGAGAGAATCTTTGTTCCTGAAACTTTCAGAGTCTCTTTCCACAGAGAGGACACATGTTGATGTAGAAGAGACATGAAGAAGAGGGGACACATGTTGATGTAGAAGAGACATGAAGAAGAGGGGACACATGTTGATGTAGAAGAGACATGAAGAAGAGGGGACACATGTTGATGTAGAAGAGACATGAAGAAGAGGGGACACATGTTGATGAAGAAGAGACATGAAGAAGAGGGGACACATGTTAATGTAGAAGAGACATGAGGAAGAGGGGACACATGTTGATGTAGAAGAGACATGAAGAAGGGGACACATGTTGATGTAGAAGAGACATGAAGAAGAGGGGACACATGTTGATGAAGAAGAGACATGAAGAAGAGGGGACACATGTTGATGTAGAAGAGACATGAAGAAGAGGGACACATGTTGATGTAGAAGAGACATGAAGAAGAGGGGACACATGTTAATGTAG